CAGTATTAGATAGTGTCTATTTTGTCTCAGACTGACTGACATTTTTAAATTATGTGGGGGTATATTTTTTTTTACAAATGTATATCCTGGGAGGGTGTGCATCTTGATTATTTTATTTAGTCCTCCCTTTTTTCGGTAGAACTCTGTGATGTAAACAAAATGATCTTATCTAGCTACATCGTATCAGTACCCTAATAGCGTGTCGTTTTGATACCAGACATATATACGTGCAAACTTAAAATTGGACCATTTGTCATTTTGCCGCTACCTTGGCAGCATATTGCCAATTATGATCGTTTCTTTCTTCGATGCATCTTCATTATTGTCTTTTCTCGTACCATTCATTGGGGAAGTACAAAACCCACGTTCCTGTCACCCAGGACATCTATAGTCCTAGATTTCTCCTTGAGGACTACAATATTTGAAACTTGCAGTCCTGGTAGCTTTCATCAACGTTCACAGAATACAGATTGCCTAGAGGTCAACTGCCGGTACTCACTCAGCCCCGACCCGTCCAATACAATACCAACTTTCTGATCCATCCGCTTCAATATAGATTGCAGAATGAATGCTAACACGAGCCCCCGTTCCTGGCACGGCTGTTAAAGGCTACATATAAATGATAAAACACCCGATGGCTGTCGATATTGGCAACCCCGGCGGGGGCCCTAAATCTGGAGAGTTATGGCGTTGTGATGGAGTGTGGCGACCCCTGGTTGTCGAGGAACACTTGCATGGCAGATCGAACCGGAATGATATCGATCGAACCGGGATAACTAATACCTCATGACGGATGTCTTGTCTACAGGTGGCAAACTGCCAGATGAAGATTGCATCAGCGTGGAACATAGTCATTGTTCTTTTCTAGTTTTCAGACAGGTTAGCAATCTGTTTGCCAGAGGTCGGTCTTTAGATTCCTAATTTTTGTGATCAATTTTTTTCCAGTATTCTACATTTTGAAATAAATAACACGTATGGCAACTACCTTAAAAATAACAATATATTATATTAAGTTCAGAGGCATTTAAAAAGCCCTTTCACTAGTGTAAACTTGTCCAGTTTGATATTGTACCTCTTATTTAGTACTTCGAATTATTATTGTGATTGCTTGAAGTAATCATAATTGTGATTACTTTGAATTTATTATGATTGTGATTACCTTGTAATTTTTGCATTGTCCTGTGAAGTCTACTATATAAGGACTTAACATTAAGTAATTGATTACATTGCAACTGTAACTACTAATATTAAAAGTTCAACATGTTAACTCACCTTGTTGTAAGTGTGTGAACTACATGGCCGATGTTCTTACGTTATAATATTGGAGTTCTAGCCTTACATTTACCAGGTCAGCAATAACACTGATCTCCCACTGAGCCCTCGCCAGGGGAATACATTTAATACTCTTAGCGATAATCTATGAAATCTCCTATAATAACTGTGTTTCCGTCACCTCTAAAGTACCAAAGGGTCTAATAAATTTGCTGCGAATGCGACCTGCATTATCGACTAAAGAAAAGGTTGCTATACATCTAAATCACAGGTGTCATTCTGGATTTAAAATATTGTAATAACATCTAACAACATCTTTTCATGTATTTGAAAACGTTTGGAAGTCGGATGCCTTATGAAGTAATATGAAAATTTAACCCTAAACAGTACACCTGGGGTCCGCGCGGACCCCAGCACTATATATGCTGTAATATTTTTCTTGTTTGCAAAGATTTTTTTCTGAAATTTCAGGTAATTGTCACCCACAAAGTTGTCCCTCAATACAGTGCAGAAAACTCAGTTTCCCCAGTTTTTAAAATTTTTTTATATCTGATTTTCTATTGGGGTCCGCGCGGACCCCAGCCGGCTTTCGATCGTAATGGATACACTGGCGTTTTTATACATTACTTTATTTCCGTTTTAATATGTTTTTATGCACTTATCGTATGGCTACGTACCAAATTTTCAGAGAATATGCTATGAATATTAAATGATTTAACTTTCTTTAATTATGTAAGATGTTATTAATGTCAGAAAGGAAGTGTTATTGAATTTAAATCCCTGAAATTTTTTTAAGTTTAAACCAAAATTACTGATTTTTTCCCAAAAACTGCCTGTCAGAAACCCGTTGCCATGGCAACACAAAAAATAATTATTTAACTAATATGAATTTTTCCCCAGATGCATTTTAGGAAAGGTCACCAAATTTGATGACTCTAGCTTAAGCCGTTCAGGCGCTATCTGAGATTAAAGTTGGCGCGAGCCTCAAAAAAACACTCGGTCTGAATAGGGTGTAAAATCGGGTTTTTCTTCTTTTTGTCTTTTCTTAGCCAAAAAATAGGAAAAGGTCAAAATGTATGATTTTTGTACGTGATGTGGACTCAGAGGTTCACTCTTCAATTTGCAATACAATTGAGCTGGTAGTATGTTGAAATTAGCAAAAAACTGCTTTGGGGTCCGCGCGGACCCCAGGTGTACAGATTAATCTGTCCGGGAAGGTGTACTGTTGAGGGTTAAAGAGGCGTTATGTAATTGTTTCCAACAAAATTAAAATATTTGAAAAAAAAATTACGTGATGGTCGTTTCGGGGGGGGGGGGCGGCTAAACAGCCCACACGAGACTCACTCATTTTTGACACCACCACAAAATACCAGAGTGTAAGGAGACATATGGCTGACAGTTGTTTTTCCAGGTTTCAAAGGCTCCTATAATGTAGTATTTTGACACGTCCACATGGTTTTACAAGGAATTAACAAAAATGGACTTTTTGTATCATCCTAATGTTACAAAATGCACCTTTAGCAAAGTGGTGTCCACGTACTTGGCAATGAAACGTTTACGATGTAGGCTACGCGTGAAAGTTAAGCTCTTTAGCGTCGAAATTTCTTCGAAACTTTCCACATTTTAACGTGTCCACTACACTTGTGACGGTCGGATTCACGTCAATTCTTGCCTCCTTTTGGCTTTTTATTTATTTATTTATTCAAAAATTGCAACTTGACAATACAAGGAGTACACTTGGCAGCAAGTATGCTGATAGCGTGCACACCTACACAAATATAAACATTACATCTAACATTGGGCAGGAAACAATAATGAACACTTATAATTAATACATACGTATTCGTTACAATATACTAGTATAGAAAACACACTAGTATTTATAGAAAGTATTTTAGCAGCAATTTGGCATTTAGTGTGGCTCAGCTAGAAGAGGCAGAGAATGTCCTAGATTTAGCAATAAACGTGTGCAGAGCTTTTATGAGTTGATTGTTTGTATCAAAGTTGTGAGCTGGAGAACCCTGGAGCAGGAGAGATGCTGTTGGGTGTTGTTGCGTATTAAGGCGTTCAGCGATGAAGACAAGCTAGGGTGTTGCGCGGTTCGGCTTTTTCTTCACAAAGAATACAACAAACCTTTGTAGAGTACACTTTTTCACTACACATGTGATCATCAACTGGTCGGATTCACCCCATTTCCCTCACTTTGCTGTCCCTGTCGTTTCTTTCATGTCGAGATACGGTAACAAGTCATTTGACACCCGGTGAAGTATTGGACACTTACGAATGTGAACGTGACCAATATAGGCCAGACTCGTACCTATCTGTGTACTTTACTTGGCCAACAAAGTTACTATACTCTTTGAAGTTGGTATAAGCATGTTAAAAAATTTTTAACATGCTTTCCTCCCTTTTCCTAACTTACATTATCCGTAATTTATTTACATTATAATCCATCTTATCTTGTGTAGTGTCAAAATTGTTTCAAATTATTCAGGGGGGGGGTCATACCCTAAACTTTTAGTTTTGATTTTAATTGATTTTATTTTCCCAAATAACAACTTTGAATGTTACATTTTGGCTCCTATGCACTAATACGAACGCCAAAAGACCTTCAATCTAATATAATTCAAATGCTTGGACTATAGTGTTCACTATTCAAATTTATTTCAAAATACAACACAAACAAAAAGCTATAAATGAAATTTAATCAGAAAAAGACTAAACATCATTTTTGACACCTCGGGGCAGAGCATTAACCCTTTATTGTTATTTAAGATATCGTTGTAGGTGCAAATTATAAGTCACAATATCCCAACAGCAATGCAAACGAGCACACAAAAACCACCCAATATCTGCTTGTACAATACAGCGCCTCGCCTACCACACAGCTACGGCCTATTCCACACGATTATGGAATTAGGGTTGTTACTCAATATGGATTGACTTCAATATGAAAACTGAAAAGAAAAAAAAGTGCATTGTCACGAACATAAGGACACACCGTATGCCCAATTACACAACCATATCTTTAGCTGCGAACACATTTAAAATCAGCATCCAAACGTTTAAAAACAAGTTTCCATATGCAAAAATTCTCCGTGAAGTTTAATATTTTGCAAATACATATGATCAACAACACGACAATCTAAACAGAGTCATCTTACATAACAGTATCTTTCATTTACTACATATCATTTATTTGATAAGGTATCGTAGTAGGAGCAAACCAGTCACAATCATAGTCACAAACAAGTCACAATCCAAACAGATACTCGCAAACGATTATAAACAACAATTGCGGCCAGTCCAATATACCTGCTCTTAGAGGTTCAGACGCTAGGTGACATCAAAGTTGGCGCGTGCACGTTTACCCCCCCCCCCGTCTAGATAGGGTCAAGGGTACTTAATATATAATATGTACATATTTATAGGTATGAAATCACTGATTACTCTTGTTTTTGTTCTGAGGGGGGGGGTCCCACCAAGCCCAAAAAATCCCGGCCTAGATAGGGTTAAATATGGTATGTTCCTGAAATATTACATTGACAAGAAAAAACAGCAACGTTAAAAAAATACAGATAGGCATAATCACGGGCATGCATGCAGAAGACGATAAAATTACACGCCGATTAAACAAAGGGGACCATTTGTTTTAGCTGCGAACGCGAAAATGGACTGACCACACGAGGGATACTGGAGTACTGAAGAAACCCCGTTGCTCAAGACTATTATGAATAGTAACAGTAGTGAAGCCTATGGTTGCTTCCGCCGTCGTCGTACGGATGCGCCCCATGGAGGCGGTTTGCGTTACCAGAATCTTCATCATCCCAACTGAAGAACTCCTGTTGGACATTCATACCTTCGACCTGCAAACGAAAAAAAACAAGAGTATTCAGTGATTTCATTGTTAAGCTAATTGTGGATCTAAATAAACTCAAACTCAAACTCATACCTATAAGTTTGTACATAAATACCCTCAAATATGGTATGAAATGATATATAACTAAAATTACAACAGTTAGATAGCTAACATCCTATACATTATTGGTAAGGATTTATATTTGCCTGATGCAAACTGTTGATTTATTAGATTAAAAAGAAAGTTTACGTCCACATTGCAGGAAAGTGTAACAAATGTACGACATGGCAGGGAAATAAGGGGAAACACAAGAGAAAACAATGTTTTACGTTGATACGACTATAGTCGTGACATATAAGTACGAATACAACAGTTGGATAGCTATCCCCTACATTATTGGTTAGGATTTCTATTTGTATAATGCAAACTGTTGATTTTCTATTTCTAACTGTTTATGCCCCGCATTCCAATGCTGGAGCAGGAAAGTTTGACATACCTACCAAAACAGTTGAATACAGTTCAATACCTACCAAAACAGTTGAATACAGTTCATACTGTCAATATGGTATGGCTATGAGTAGGTGTTAATGTAGTTAACCCAATTAAATCCCAACAGCCAATCAGCAAGAAGAATAGAGGGAAGCTGCATGCCGATTGGCTCTTGCTCTGCCTGCTATTACCATATACCCATACCAAATGTCAGATGATTTGGGTTGAATACTAGGTGCCCAAGACCCAAAAGTACAAATTTTGTCAAAAATGCCAAAAAAAAATTGTGTCCAATTTTAAAAGCCTGTAAGTAAAAAAAAGGGAAAAAACGTACGGGGGGTATTTGGCCACTGATCCCCAAAAATGAAGAAATTGAATCCATGTAAATGTCAAGAGAAGGAAGAGAAGCAGGAGAAACATGAGGGAAAACAGTACATTTCTACCACATTGTGTATAGTTTAGGTAAAATGTTTTAAAAAATCATATTTCTCCAGAAGTATCTTATGTGGTATTCGGGATTTTTTTTCAATTTGTCTGCTTGCATTAGATTTGGAGTCTTCACAGAAATTGCCATTCGTGAATAAAGGAAGTATGGCCTAATCCTCACCCTCTGACACCCCTGTCTGTAGCGGAAGAGGTAGAACGGGCTTCCGTTGGGCAGAGAGATGGGGGTGTTGACGTCTCCGTCGCTACGGCAGCAGTATTTGATCAAGGTGTTCGTGTCGTAAGTCCCGTCAGGAAGTTCGCCACTATGGCTGTTACCATTGGAGCTGTCTTCATCGTCCCAATAGATCTCACCTGGTTGGAAACCTGAAAAATATATAATAAACATAACAGCCGTATTACCCTCTCCAAGAAGGTTACGCTCGAAATCGAAATCAACAGCAGACTTTTCCTAGTGAGCTCTTTCATCAGTGACAACTTTGGAAGGATAAGGATACTAACCTCAAAATTTTCGATGGCTATCAGTCCATCTTGTTCACGGAGTGGCCTAATGAACAAGATGGACTGATAGCCATCGAAAATTTGGAGGTTAGTATCCTTATCCTTCCAAAGTTGTCACTGATGAAAGAACTCACTAGGAACTGTATCTATACGTGACAAATGAATCTCTTCAACGAAACAGCAGACTTTAATTTAATGTTGTTGATAGCCATGACATTTGGTTGGTGTTTAGGTCTTGATCTGTCAACGATAGTATTATTGTTTTTACTACTATTATGACTACGTGAAGGAAGTATCCCTCCTGCAGGAGTATTGTGGTCAGTTGTTTTTTTCGCGTTCGCATGCAAATCTCGCGGTTCCCTTTTTTCATCGGCATGTAATGTGATGCATCGTCTGCTGCCATGCCCGCGATGAAGCCCATCCATATTTTTATTTTCACTGTAGCTGTTTTCATTGTTAATGTAATATTTCAGATGCAACCCTACTGTGAGCGTCAACTTTCAAATTCAAATTTGCAGCCTCTAGATTAGGCTTCGGGAAACAGCCGGAAGGCTTGTAAGACTCTTAAAACACTCACAAAGACACAGCAGCCAAAAATCACAGTGATTGAGGAAAGCAGTGGAACACGTGGTGTAAGTTTTGTCCCCTAGCCGCTTGTTTTTGAACTGCAGGGAAGTTTCTGGCAAAATCTTTGAAAGCAGATAAGTCCAGATAAGAACAATGTTTTTAATCATTTTTTGGGTATGTAGGTAGCTCAGAAAGCTATGTAGATAACCCAATGCTCATTATGCAAATTAAGGCTTAATTTGCATGATTAACAAGGAGATTATGTAATTCCAATATTTTAGAATTTAAATCCATACGTGTAATGTACGTAATCTATAGCAGGTGAAACATCAACAGATAGCAATTATGCAAATTTGCATAATCAATCTGAAAATTCTATGATTTCTTAATGGAGAATGATGGGAATTTTATACCTTATGACATGTGTAGATTATTTAAAGGTTAACATAACTATGTAAATATATAACTTTAATGTAGAACTCATTTGCATGATATTTGAGGACATGTTGAAATGTAATATTGCTAAAATATAGGAATTTTACACACAAAATGTTGTAATTTGAGCTTAGAAAACCATAAGTTAAAATAGATTAAGATAACGACGACCTTCTTTCTTTAATCAATGACAGAAAGATAAAAACGTTATAAAAACGTCACATATTTTATAGAGGTATGAAGTCTCTGAATTATTATTTTTTTTTTTTACATTACTTACCTGACGGACACCAGTACTTCCTGAAAATACAGTAACTACCACTCGGCCAGCTCCCAGATCCGTCACTTGAGATAGTCTGCAGAGAACAAAAAAATGTCATATTCAATACATGTGATGTTAAGCTTTTTAAAAGTAACGTACACATGCCATAAAAGTCCCACCATTCACCATTAAGGAATCGCAGGATTTTTACATTGATTATGCGAAGTAGGTCATTATTTGCAAAATTGGTATCTGTTGATGTTCCACCTGCCATGGATTACATACATTACATGTATGAAAATACTGTTTGTGGTTGAGCCATGCATTCTGGTAGTCTCTGATAAGACCAGCAAGCTTGAGAGACAATTACGTTTGATGGCAAACACTCTAAGGTGATCCGTTGCCGCTAAATATTCGTTCCAGTATAGTAGCCATCCATCATAGTACAACAAGCTCTTGTCTACAATTGTAGTAACGTTTAATACAATAATTAAAGTAATGTTGTGATTTATTTATTTATTTATTTATTAAGTTTTACCACGTACAATATGCACTGTGGATGGCATGGCGAAACAGGTGTTTCTGACGTGATACCATGTTTAGCGCTCATTTATTAGTTGTTTTAAAAATGTGTACGATCCTTAATATTTGAAATGCATATTATTTTTATTTTTATTTTAAATAATTATGTTTTTCGCCCCATTGCATTAGATTAGGAGTCTGTGAAGGATGTCACCCAAATTATTTATTACTTGCTGTAGCCAAAGTCACAATATTGATGGATTTCCGATGGAAACATGATAATAGGGTACATATTTAACCCTACCTAGACCGGGGGGGGGGGCTAGAAGTGCCCGCGCCAACTTTGATGTCACCTAGCGTCTGAACGGCTAGGGCTAGAACGGCCAAACTTGGTGACTTTTCTTGGAATATTGTTGGCAACAATTCTTTACCAATGGAATAAGATAAATTTTCCTTTGTGTTGCCATGGCAACGGGTTTCTGTCAGGCATTTTTTGCTACATTTAGTAATTTTTGTTTTAACAATAGAATTCT